TGTGTTGCGTATAAGCATGCACCGCTGGGTCAAAACAACCCAATTGCTGGGTTTGTCCCTATTTTACCCAGCACTGGGTTGTATTTAACCCAGCATTTTTTAGAGTGTAGCAAGTATGTACTTTAAGGGACAAAGAAGAACAAACATCCTCGTGCCATTTCAAGCTCCCAATGGAGTGACATAAAATAAGATTCGATCCAGAACCCCTGCTAGTGCACCGCTGACAAATAAGTGGTTCATAATCTGGGAGTCTGCTGTGCGGTCACATTTGGTGCACGGCTGTTGTCAAACACAATTCAGTCCACATAAAAAGATGATGATTTCTAAAAAAAAAAAAAAAAAACTGGGGACAAACTGAAAATATGGCGGAATAGACTGGAAAAACATTCTTGTGCAAACCAGTAATATCCTTTCAATATCCTCCAGATGGACGATCTACTTTGTTTTCCCCTTTAGAAATGATCAAATAAGACAGTTATGAGCATTATGGCAGACAGAAATTCATACTTTTATGAATTCAATTACATTTTCATGAAATTTTAAGAAACTACAGTGTCCCCAAAATGCCTTGTGACTAGAAACATTTAGCAAAAATAACTCAGAAATAGAAGTTATTTCTGAGAAAAGCTCTAGTATCATTCGTTTACAGATGTGACATTATAGCATCACAAAATCTTATACGGCACCTTTGTCTTTCTTCTCTTTTTCCCAGATTTAAGCTCCTTTGCACTTTTCAGAATGGCACTGAATGTTTCTGAGGACATGCGTGTTGACACTTGAATTTTTATTGGAGATAGTTTAGCTGTCAAAAAGATGAAAAAATTATTTACAATCTCATTCTACCCAAACTGTCATCCACTTAAGTGGGACACAGTTTTGATCTCAGAATATGAGTAACTTCACATTTCATGTGTGTGGAATAACTTCAAAACGTTATTCCACATCTTTGCACGAGGTCACCGCTGCATTACTAAAGTCTTATTTCCATATTTCTATAAATCTATACCTGCTTGTCTCTCTCTCAGGGCCTCTAAAAGCACTTTCCCACCATCCTCTCCGATGTGATTCTCACCAAGATCCAGTTCGGTCAGGTAACAGGAGAACTTAACTATACTGAAAGACATTTATAGATACCCATACAGTATAATGAGACAGCGCATACATAGGTCATGTAATTTGCTCTCAAAGAGCATCAATTGATGAGTCAGGATCAACAGTTAAGACATAAGGTAAAATATTTACTCAGTGTCGCCAATCCAATCTTAAGTCTACCATCTAACAAAACATGTTGAGAAGCAGTAACAGCTGTAAACGATTTTGATTGTAAATGCTGACAGAGTGTATTTTAATCAGTGTTAACTAAAAAACATTCAGTGTGCTGCCAAAGAAATCAGTTTCTGGTTCACTTATAATGTTAGCCAAAGTTGTTTTGCGCCAAAAACAATGATAGTTTAATTGTCCATGATCATTTTCCACCCTCTCTCTGGCCCTTCCTGTTTTACAGGAAGCGAAGTAGCAGCGTAATTACAACAGCAGCTTTCTATTGTGCTTTCACACATATTTTTTCAGGTGTGCAATATACAGTTAATAAAGTGAAATTTTGGGTTAATGATTATTTCCTATGTCGGTGGTGTCTAAACTCAGTCCTGGAGGGCCGGTGTCCTGGAGAGTTTAGCTCCAACCCCAATTAAACACACCTGAACCAGCTATTTAAGCTCTTACTAGGCATACTAGAAACTTCCAGGAAGATGTGTTGAGGCAAGTTGGAGCTAAACTCTGCAGGACACCGGCCCTCCAGGACCGAGTTTGGACACCCCTGTCCTATGTACAGTAATATGATAATGGTTAGAAATGATAACATGAGTGGGGGGAAGGGGTCTAATTTATATGAAAAAAGGGAACCAAATTTACATCCCAATGATAATAACTTCACTCACGATACCAAAAAAAAAAAAAAAAAAACTTAATATTATATATTATTATGAAAATCTTGTCAATTATTACTCCCATTATTACACTTCTTTTTTCTTTACATGTTGCCCCCAAAACACATTAATATGCAAATTAGATTTAGTTTATAGATACATTGTATATAATGAGAAAACCCGTTTATGGCCATTTTACACACATTTTGCAGAAAGAAAAATAGTATATTGAATCATTCTGTTATAACATAGTTGAGAATCATCTTTATACAAAGTTTGATAAAAAAAAATCTTGAAAACTAAAAATGTATTGGCGATTTAAAAAATCAATTGTTTTTGCCTGTGCATGTTCATTCATGTCTTTTTATACTTTTAAAGAAATTGAGTCCCGATGTCCTCTACCGAGGACATAGCATAACTTATGAATGAAATATCTTTTTTCAATATATATCTTTTTTTACATTATTTTTAATGCTCTAAACAATGTAAAGACATGGAAAAAACTAATTTTTTCCTAAAACTTTTTTCCCTGGTCTTAAGAGGTTAAATCATTTGGACTGAGTCAAATTTACTGTTTGTTTTGCTGCTCCATATAAGTCTACTTTGAAAAATTTCAGTTCACTGAAAACTGTCATTTTTATTGAGCTTGTGTAGAGATAGAGAGAGAGAGAAGGGAAATGCTTTATTTTTTATAGCTACTAGAGATCATTAAACATATTATGCATGTCAATATCTGTCCAGAAACTTCCTACAGTAAATACAGATTTATGTGCGGCTATGGGATCAGCAATCTAACAGAAGATATATCATATGTGGACAAAAAGCACCCTGAGAACTGAAAACAGAAGTTCTTGATTAAAATGTCTTGCACTCTAATGTCTTATACACTAGGTCAATCACTGTATCGAATCTGACCGCTGTGCATAAAAGATGATACGAAGGTATGCAGGCTGAGGAGAAAGACAGAGGAAGCAACAGATGATTTATTCCTAAACAGAACAGACACAGCTAAATCTCACAGCACACTCTAGGGAACACTTGAGAAAAAGAAGCGTGTTTAGTTGTACTGAATGTGTGCTTGAAGTGTACCTCAAATCTTAAAAGTATATTTTTACATGCAGATAATATAAAACTAATGAAACTAAAGGTCACTCAAGTGCACTTTAAGAGAGTACACTTAATGTTTCTTAACAAGTGCACTTTGTAACAATGTCAAATTAAAAGTTCAGTAATCATTAGGAGTAACTGAATGGGACTAACGGTTGACAAACAGACATAAACGACTTTTTTTAGAGATTAATTTCACCTCCATTTATTCCTCAACTGTGCCCTGATGCTACCATGATGGTTGAATTGAGTCTCATGCTAGAACTGTTTAATTACATGCAGTGAGTCATTCCTTTTTACCCTTTTCCATATCAGAAATTTAAGCTGTGTATAAACTGTAATAAAATGCATAAAATATCAGAAATCTCTCTGTAAACAGCAGAAAAGAATCCAAATAGAAAGAAATGGTTCCAAATGGCAGTATGTTATTTTACTACATTTTCTAGAGGGATTATTCACAAGGTATTTACAGATCAGGTGATGCCAGTGAGATAAATAGAAGTGCTAATGGGTACACTTGTTAAAATGACGTTCATTTTAGCATACTTTTATTTTATTTAGTACTTATTTTAGAAATAATATACTATAAAAGAATATACTTAAGTGGAAACTGAAGAAGTGTTTTTGGACACTTAACTGCATTTTAATTGCATTTACATGAAAATGTATTATAGTTTAAATTTATTTAAAATTCTGAACTTTACGGTGCTTTTTCGACCCACTTAAGTAGGACTTAAGTAAATTTTTATATGTAATATAATATACATAATAATATATAATAATAATCATTTTGATTTTCTGTTTTTCAAGTTTTGAAACTTGTCTGCCATGTATTTAAATATATAATTAATTACACATTTTCAATAATGAAGTTTCAATTTAATACATTTAAATTAAATTAACTTTAAATTTTATATTGTAAAACACTACAGTTAAAATGAACAGTTTTACAGTTAAAATTATTTACTTAAAATTAAGTAATAATCAAGTACCTTACATGTGCTTTAGTACATCAAAATAAGTACACTTTTTGAAAGCATGACATAAGATTATTAAAATGTAATGATTTAAAAGTTCTTTAAAGTAAAACATTTTGACATTAATACAAAGAGCACATGTTAAGAAACATAGTCACGGAAGTTTACTCTCTTTAATTACACTTAAGTGGCCTGTTGTGTTATTAATATTATCTGCAAGTACAGTTTTTGCTTCCTTTAATATATTCTTTTAACATTTTAAGTACACTACAAGCACACTTCTTTTTACAAGGGTAACAGGGAATGCTAATTAAAAGTGCAGGATTTTAGACAGCGGGCGTGTGGTTGAAGGGACGAAGGCAAGCTAATTTAGCTTAGTCTGGTGCAAGTAAACAATGCTTACAGCAGCGTTAAGCCTATCAAAGCATTTTAAACATATCTGTGTTTAGTTTTATGGTCAGAAATACATTATATGTGTTGACAATTCCAGTTCCCAAGAAAAGACAGCTGACATTTTCAACAACATACAAACAAAGTCATACTAAGGAGGTGACACTTACATGCAAAGGAGCTCCATGAATCGAGTTAGTTCATTTGGTCCCTCCTGTCCTGAGTTATCAATGGAATTATCAAACATGTGCAGCTTCTCTAGCCACGGCCCCCCTGCAGCGCCATGGCCGCTCTTGGTTTTTTCTCTTTTCTTCTTTGTCTTCTTCCCTAACCACAACATGACATTCACAGCTGAGACTAATCTGGCATCCATCAAAAAGACACGACTCACTGCCTCCTCCCATTCATCAACAGATGGAATTCATTTTTATGATAACATAGCACATAAAAAACTAAATATGATTAAACTGGGAAACCATATTAAATCATTATGAGAGGCCTATAAATTAAAACACACACAGTGGCAGAGAGACGTCTCTCCCTGAGTTCTCTTGTTGGCCTGAAGGGACAGTTTTGGGGGAAACTGCAAATGCTGTTGACCACACTGAGCATGTGACAGCTAGAGTGTGAGACCAGCTTCACTCATCACCACAAACCACAAGTTCAGTTGTGGCCTCCCTATAGGCCAATTCACACCACACCAACAGACAGCTGACCGAGTACAATACATCACATTCCAAGACCCGACAAACACCGATTCAGCATGTTCAATCGGCGAAAACAAGTGCCGACAGGGGTGATCCGACAAAACCTGATGAACGTGTCTCTTGTCATTTGTTGGCGTCTGTCTGGGCAGTATGAATTGGTCTTAAAGGGATAGTTCCCCCAAAAATTTAAATTTGATGTTTATCTGCTTACCCCCAGGGCATCCAAGATGTAGGTGACTTTGTTTCTTCAGTAGAACACAAACGAAGATTTTTAACTCAAACCATTGCAGTCTGTCAGTCTTATAATGGAAGTGAATGGGAATCACGCCTTTGAACACTTATAAGTCTGCGATCCGCCGTAAAGCAAGAAAAAGAAGAAGAAGAAGAAGACGCGAACGCGCTCAGGACGCGCTCAGGACATTGCTGTAAATCAGAGGTAAGTTTTTTACCTCTGATTTACTGCAATGTCCTGAGCGCGTCCTGAGCGCGTTCGCGTCTTCTTCTTCAGCTGGCGCGTGACACGTCTTTCAGGGTTTAATTTGGTTTTGTTTGTGTATGTTTTTTTGACTCTCAAAGGCGTGATTCCCATTCACTTCCATTATATGACTGACAGACTGCAACGGTTTGAGTTAAAAATCTTCGTTTGTGTTCTACTGAAGAAACAAAGTCACCTACATCTTGGATGCCCTGGGGGTAAGCAGAGAAACATCAGATTTTCATTTTTGGGTGAACTATCCCTTTAAGACAACATGATCAATGTATATGTGTGAACACATTCAATATGTGTCATTTAGACGTATTTGTGCACATGTTCACATGTTCAGTGGGAATTAAGTGGATAATTGGATTGTTGTCATTTGCTATTGCTGCAATCTCATGTGAGTGACAAGTTGTCCCACCCTTGCGCCGGTGGACACAGAGACTATGGAACTTTAATTCAATTAAAATCAGAGAAGATAAAAATGTAATTCAATTAAAATTTAATAGTAATGATGGGGACAAAGAAACTGGTTGATATTCTGTTGTAAATCAAGCATTTAAAAATCATTTTAAAAGTAATTCTTCATAAACTTATTTTTCAGTACACAATAAGCATAGTTAAATCTGTCAAATAATGTGACTAATTTTAGTATCTGATTTTTCTTGTTAATTATATCTGGGGTTCTCAAAAAATTCTATCAGCCAAACCATGTAGAAGTAAAATATTTATCTAATGTAAAATCAATTCTATTTAAAATCCATTTATTTCATACTAAGTATAGCTCAAATCTATTATCATATTTACTGACATATCACTCTAGACTTACTGATATAATTAAACTTTATTTGGAGTACTACTTGTGCACAATGCACATTTCTTAATATTAAGCCAAAATGTGTTTTAATGTCACTATTAATAAGGATTGTATGATCTTTGAATAATATCGGTCTTTAAGTGCAAGATATTTAAAGTGTACCTGAAGTATACTTGCAATAGTTCCAGTTTAGCACAATCAAATATACTTCAGTCTTTAGTTGGAGTTCAGCAATACTTCCGCACAATTAAAGTGCATTAAGTACAAAATTAGTTGTTCCAATTTAGTAGACTTTAAGTATACCAGTTTAGTATACTAAAAGTACAATTGCAGGGTATTTTTATTAAGTACATACTGTAAATATGTAAATGTATTTGTAGAATATTTAGAATGAAATAATTGTATCTCAAATACATTTTAGTACATGTATTTTTCACTATGGAAGATAAAGATCATAAAAAAAGATAATTAATATAAGTCTGCATGAGTTGGCCAAAAAATAATATTGTATATAAACACAGTGCTGCTCTTTACTTTAAAACATTACTCTAAAACATAAAGCAGCTGAAATTACTATGTACGGTTTCATTAAATTGCAGCGTTTTTACAATTTTCTCACATTTGCAGCCAGGAAAAACATATTAATGAGATGGATAAGTTATAAGACTCCGACTATATCTGGATGGCACAAGATTTTAATGGAACTAATCCCACTGGAATATTTAACATGTTTAGTTAATGGTCTGCCATGTAAATTTTATGATGTCTGGAAGCCTTATATCAGTAATCTAGGGATTGATTTGTCAACTATTCTGTTGAAGAGTTTTCCTATTTATGTACCCCAAGTGAGTGCATAAGATTTTGAACTTGTATTGTACTAGCACTATGTATTTAGTGTGGTTATCCACTTAATTTTTGAGTATCTCATTTTTCTTTTCCTTTTTAGTGGCCTAGGACAAATCTGCTTATTCTTACTTTCGCTGACTCCCTTTTTTATGATTATGGTTTATATTCATGTGTGTTTTGTCAAAGTTGGAAAATATTCAATAAATATATTGGGGGAAAAAAATGCAGCTTTTGATCTGATAATCGTGAATCAGATTTATTTCGATTGATTATGCATCCCCATTTGTTCATTTTAATGCTACATTGATTCAATTCATTATTAGCTTCTCTTCACCTCACAAACCTCAGCAGTTCCTTCACAAACCCTCAAAAGTTTGAGAACCCTTTTTGGGAAACCCGATTACTATATAAATAGTAAGTCATGAGACAAATGGGACAGAAATTGCCCCATTGCCTCAGAAAGTGCCACAAATCTATGCATAATATAATACAAAATTAGTTACTTAGAGTAAATTAGTTTGGTGTGTATGCGTATATATCTGCCCACAGTAGGTACATGTGACTGTGGATACACATGTGTGTCCTACACAGCCCTGTGTGACACTATGATATTTCCTGTTTCTCCTCCACATGGTCTCTATGGATGTGCTGTGTCAAGGTGCTGTAATAGGAGTCCTAAGTACTGTAAGTATATTTGCTCAGGTGGTTTCATTGGAGGTTTTGTGTAAGTGTGTTTAACAAGAGAGAACACAAGAGCCCATAAGAGCTCCTAGTGATTATAGTGATAACTGTGTGAATATGCACAAGCATATTCATACAAATAGACCGTTCCATACTAATGCGCTGCTTTAATTGATGCACACTAACCAACACACATCCCTCACGCACACACACACACACACACACACATACAATCACACACAGAGAGAGAGAGAGAGAGTGAGAGAGAGTGTGTGTGTGTGTGTGAGAGAGAGATTGCAGATTGAGCTGCACGGTCTTACTGCACTATTTCATCTCTGTGTCTGATTTGAAGCGGGCAGAATGCTAGCGCTAACGTGCCGTAGCTGACGAAAATAACAGTCATTTTTACCCATTCGGTCAAATATTGCGCTGCAAAGAGCAATACTAGTTTTAACTTGTCTATAACTTGGCAAATGACCATGGAATAAGCGGGATAATCAACGGCTAGCCATGCATTAAAGGATTTTAAATGCACTCCACTTCGCGTCAGGCGGTTCTTTGCCTCCACATCATGCATTTAAAATCCTTTAATGCACGGCTAGCCGTTGATTATTCCTTACATACTGCATATACACACAGATAGTCTTCTGAGAAAGAGAAAACAACTCAGTAGTTCGAAACATTAGTAGTACCTTTGCTCTTTGCTTTCTTTTGTCTGGAAGATGTTGTATTGCTCCTTTGGGAGATCAACTCTGTTGCATCTGAAAGAAAGAAATGTGTAAATGACATCACTTTGCACAAAATGCGGTTACATTACGCCCTTTAATGTCTCCCGGTAAGTGTTGGAAAAAGAATGATGAGATGATCATTCTCATAAATTAGTCTCTTGACGCATTCCACTCCATAACATTACACACTGCATGTATGTATGTATGTATCCCACTCATACACAACTGTGTACTATAGAACTCTGAGGTTGTATTAGGTTTTTGAAAACAGAAAAGTCATAAGAAAGAACGAGTCCCTGAGGCACAATTAATTCAGCAATGACCTACTATTGATAGAATGAATTAGGTGAAAATAGGCAAACTCACATACACACCTGTGATGGATGTGGTCCTGTTTTGGATCGCTGCCAGTTTTTGGCTGTTTTCAGCCACAGGTTTCAGCAGCTCAAAGGCACCCCCACACTGCAGCTCATTGCCATTGATGTAGACCTCCCTAAAGATGAGGATTGACCAATGAATGCATTTAATTTAACATTAAACTATAGAGTCTGTTATGTGTGACTTTTAAAGATCAGAATAAGATGTCAGTGGTCCTTGTTCAATACATACAGACAACAAATTAGGCCCCTATTTATCAGTAAATGTTGATGAAAAATAAACAAGTTAATTTTCTTATTTTCTCAATCGTAATGACTTGCAAGTAGGACAGCATTAAGACAGATGTTTTAACTGTTTCTCATTTTAAATTAAACTGGTTGATCATTCTTACAGACCATCAGATTCAGTATTGAAACACTAGAGGAAATACCTGTGTTTATGTGAACTGAATAAAACAATTAACGCATCACCTTGTGATGCAAGATGTTTCTTGAGCTACAAAAGCCCTCAAACACATTAGCTCAATCTCTTTTTCATTCTCAGTTGATGAAATCGATTCTTGACAATACCCTTTGCACTTTGCATCCGAAAAGAGCTTCACTTTAACCTTTGTAAAGTGCATTTTTTTCTACAGAACCTGCAGTTTTATAGGCATTTTCCATTGGAAAGCGCTGTCTTATGAAACTTACATCTTCAGAACATGCGTAAAGTTCAAGTACATTTTTAAGTATACTTTATGTAGTACGTATACAAATATCAGTGTACTAGTAGTATACTTGTAAGTGTACTATTTCAATACTCCTTGGGACTAAATTGGCCCACTTTCTAGTATTTAAAAGTATGCTTTTAAGTATAACAGTTGTAAACTTTGAGTACACAACTAGTTTACATATATGTTTTTAGTTTGTACTGCAACTATGGTAAAAGTGAACTTATAGGTATACTGATAGTTTACTAATTAAATAATTGTAGCATTTTAGTACACTTTGAAGTATAGTCTCAGTAAACTACTAGTTTAGTAGTTTTATACTGCAAGTATACTCGTAAGTTTTCTTTAAGTGAACTTTACATCATACTTTAAGTATACTACTATGTCCCTATTTAGGTATTACTTTGTATATATTTTGTTATATAAATATCTGGGGCCCGTTTCAATAAGGAGGTTCAACCAACTCTTGAACTCTGAGTTGACTTACTCTGAGATGGGAAACTCTGCGTTTTCGGTTTCAGAACAGCTGAATTGAGTAGTAAGTATACAAATATCAGTGTACTAGTAGTATACTTGTAAGTGTACTATTTCAATACTCCTTGGGACTAAATTGGCCCACTTTCTAGTATTTAAAAGTATGCTTTTAAGTATAACAGTTGTAAACTTTGAGTACACAACTAGTTTACATATATGTTTTTAGTTTGTACTGCAACTATGGTAAAAGTGAACTTATAGGTATACTGATAGTTTACTAATTAAATAATTGTAGCATTTTAGTACACTTTGAAGTATAGTCTCAGTAAACTACTAGTTTAGTAGTTTTATACTGCAAGTATACTCGTAAGTTTTCTTTAAGTGAACTTTACATCATACTTTAAATATACTACTATGTCCCTATTTAGGTATTACTTTGTATATATTTTGTTATATAAATATCTGGGGCCCGTTTCAATAAGGAGGTTCAACCAACTCTTGAACTCTGAGTTGACTTACTCTGAGATGGGAAACTCTGCGTTTTCGGTTTCAGAACAGCTGAATTGAGTTAGTTCAATCAACTCTGAGTAGGTTGACTCTCGGTGCGTTCCAAACGGGATATATCGCCTTCCGAAGGGCACTTCGGAGTGAAAACAATCATGGCCACCATATTGAAGGGTCGTTCCAAACCGAAGTGCTCAAAACTTGCCACTTCAAAGGGCCCTTCGGAATGAAGGATTTCGAAGGTTATAACTGATGGACACTTCGGGCTCCCATGATCCTTTGCGCAGATTCTTTGCATGATGAAGGCGCCTCCGTGTGGGCACGTGATGATGACGC